TATCTGCTAGCAGTGCATTCAGTGCATGCCAGTGACAGTGGGTTCAGGGTAGACACACTAATTTTGGCAGTGCTCACTTTCACTTGGTCACTACCATGCAGCTCTCAGAGGGTTGGCGAACAGCAAATGCAGCCCTCGAGTCAAAAAAGGTTAGCCACCCCTGCCCTAGGCCTTCGTTGAATGCTTTCGCAGTCACATCATGCTGCTGAAGAAGCAGACTTTTCTCCACAAAAGTTCATGCCAAAATTTATACATAAGTAAGATTCCACAGTGCTCTTGGAATTTTGCTATAACAAATTAACATGGCCACTCTGAATTGGCATTCTTATGTGGAAACCTTTCAAAGAGGCTTCTTAGAGGTTAGCAATGTGGCACTACTCCAGCTGTGTATGACAAATCTTTCTTTTAAGAAAAGACTATTGATCCTATTCCCTGGTGCAGTTCCTTCCAAACCCTTTTTCTTATTGTCCAGACCACCAGTGACCGGAATACAGTCTTCACTTATTTAGAAAAGGTATAACTGCCCTCTTAGCTTGGGGCTTTATCTTCAACGTAGAATGTAATAAAACTGTTATGTTCAGGATCCAAAACATGTCATGGCAATCAAGTCTAAGGTTCTTCAAGAAATCTCCTCACATATGCATGTACTTATACATATAATCTGAGGAAAAGCTAGAAACAGAAGCTTTAGTAGTATTACAAACAGAAAAACGTGATGCAACTAAGGTTTGATTTCTCTCTTTATAGTGTGGATGTATGCTTATAAAAATGTGACCAACAAATTTGAAATGTAAGCTCTTATGTAAGCAATTGCACATCATCTTTCACAAGTGCAAGAAACCAAACGGATTCAGCTGTTGAACAAGTGGGCTAGCAAAACTAGTCATCACCTGCTGCATCATTCATTTTTTAACCTATGATTTATATTCTGGTCTGCATTCTGCTAAGGATACATAGATTCACTGAATAAAATACTGACTAGAAACTGAAGGCTATGTTCCAAATCAGTAAGCAGGCATATTATTACTACTGTCACTTCTGTTTTTTTCTGTATTAAAAGCTCAAGCTGTGTACAATGTTGTCAGATCCTTAAAGGTATGAATGCAGTTTCTATCCACAGTGTTTGTTCAAGTGAACAAATACATGTTCATGTTCACTTGTGGCTTTTAAAATAATTAAAACAGAAAGGTGATCATGTGGCTACTTTACTTAATTCTTTCCACAATCTATGGAATGGACTGCAATACCAATTTATCCAACTTCTGTAGATCTCCTATAAAATTAATATTTTTTTAACTAAATTCTCAGGCAACTATGAAACTATCTATTGTTGAGATCAGAATAATTCTTTTACTTTCGTGCAGGTATAACATTGAGGCAAATGTGAAAAGGCAATGTGACATTTTGTAAGTATAATATGCATGTTGCTTTTACTAAAAGTACAAAGGATGAGAATAGATTTTTAAAGCACAATAGTTTTTATTATAAACATCTAAGAAGCAAAGCAACAGCAGGGAGTAGACTCAGGAAGCCTAATATATAAAATCTACAGAAGCAATTAGCTGAGTGCTGCTGCTATTTCTGCTCTTATAATAGAAGGAGAGAAAGTTAAAAATCCAAGAGCTATGAAGCTAGGGTGTTATGAAGGCCAGATTTTTCTTAATATCAAAGTTTAACAGTGTCACTTAACTGAAGATAGCTTTTTCTGAAGAGCGCTTGAAGTTCCACATGCAAAAAACATAATGTGCCTCAGGTAAAGTCTTGCATGTGTGATACAGTTATAAATTAACAATTTAGAATAATATTTACAAATTAAATCTATTTTTCATCACAACTCCAGCACAAAAGGAAAACAGAAGGAAGTTCTAGTGGAACAAGAGAATCAGCATTATTTTATTCTTTTTCATTTATTAATAAATACAGTCGTACCTTGGATCTTGAATGCCTTGGCTCCTGAATGATCGAAACCCGGAAGTGATTGTTCCGGTTTTTGAATAATTTTCGGAAGCCGAACGTCCGGCGAAGCTTCCGCAGCTTCAGATTGGCTGCAGGAGCTTCCTGCTGCCAATCAGAAACCGCACTTTGGTTTCTCAACATTTTGGAAGTTGAACAGACTTCTGGAATGGATTCTGTTTGACTTCCAAGGTACAACTGTAGATGTGTACTCAGTCTTACGTCTGGGTTTTTTAGGGAGGAGTAGTACCTCTGCTGGGGGACACGTCGTGCACCTTCTTGCTTATTTTGTCCACCTTTGGTTCTCACCTGCACTCAGCACTCACCTGTGGCTCCCATAACCTGTAAGCATGTGACAGCAGCGACACCCCAGGAATAGCTTTGATTGGCCGGCTAAACCAGGTGAGGGTAATCAATGGGTCTCAAACCCTCAATGAGTTAGGGATTTCCCCTGCAGGTGAAGATAGGCTCCAGCGGATTGAGTGACAAGACCAGTAGTGGGTCCAACAGTTAATAAGGTGGTTTCTGCATATGCTGTAGATGGGGTTCATCAACCTGAAAAGATAGCTCATCTAGAAGAAAAACTCTGACCCTAAACCTCCACTGATTTGCAGGATATCTTCAGGAGAAGAAAAGGCTAAGTACTAAACCCTACACAAATATGGAGTGGAGACCCTAAGACAGTTGGATGGCACCTTGTATGCTTTCTTCTGGCAACTCTTACAGCCAAGCTGGTGCCAAACATATTGCTCTGCTTTCCTTTGGACCACACCAGCAAGGCTGAGTGGGGAAGATCTTGTCACTGGGGAGGACATTTGGTGCTGCTAATGCAGCAGTTTAACTTCACCCCCAGAAGGCACACTCCATTGTCTCTTGAGACAGATGAGTGCCAACAACAACAACCCAGCCTTTCAGGGGGGAAACCTCCCAAGGTGGCCAGAATTTTGTTACTTTTTGCTCCATAGTCCATAAAAAGGACCTCTGACAAAGACTCTCCTCCTGCAAGAGAGGGGAGTGGTTGCGGTCGGGATCCGGACCACGCCTCAAGCAGGGGGCATTTGCCCCCTGCCTCCCCTCACCTGGCTGGTGCCCACGCCCACGGGCAAGCACCCAACCAGGTGCCTGCGAGGGGGCGTGTTTAGCAGCTTAAATTGCTGTGGCGCCATCTTCCCGGCCTCACTCTTCGTCGTCCCGTCGCGAGTCACCCACCCTCCACTCCCTTAGAGCTCAGGGTCTCAGTCTTCTTTTGGCCTTGCTATGGACCTTAGGTTGGTCGCCCTGGTTGTCCGGGGGGCCTGGTAGGAATTTTTCCATTTGGCATTAGGCTTTTTGTTTTTTTCGCCTACCTCGTAGCAATCGTCACAACTTTCGTGGTATTGGTGGGTAGGTTAGGCATTGGAATAATGTGTTGTGGTGTGTCAAAGGGCTAGGTGTGGCCATTGCCTACGCCTTCAATTTTTGGGTATTCTGTTAAAAGGAATCCGGCGGTCGTGTATTCTGTCCGATGCCTGCGTAGTGGAAGGCCATGGCACGACCCTCGGTGACATCAGGGGAGAGCTTATAGTTGGATTAGCATCAACAGGATCCACCTACTGGTGAATAAACCCCCTTTGTTTTAGACTCACCCCTCTCTGAGGGGGTGGAGTCAGCTGACGTAATCCAATGCCTAAGCCAATACCTTTTCACTTGCTGTAATCAATAAAGTTGTGGCCTTTTCTTGCCCATTAACCTTATATCTCGTGTCCTGTGTTTTCATTCCACTATGCGGGGACCGGGTCCTCGAACCGCAATTAAGTCAAGTCGCGAACCACTCTTGGGTTGTGGCGCTCACCTTGCTTTAAAGGCCGAGGGAGCCAGCGTTTGTCCGCTTCTGCAGACAGTTTTTCTGGGTCATGTGGCCAGCATGACTAAGCGGCTTCTGGCGAAACCAGAGCAGCGCACGGCAACACTGTTTACCTTCCCAACAGAGCGTTACCAATTTATCTACTTGCACTGTGTGCTTTTGAACTGCTAGGTTGGCAGGAGCTGGGACCGAACAATGGGAGCTCACTCCATCACAGGGATTCAAACCACCGACCTTTTAATTGGCAAGCCCAAGAGGCACAGTGGTTTAACCCACAGTGCCACCCCCGTTCTGCTCCATATTCCATACTCCTCTCCTATTCTTTGCATAATTGTAACAAACTCTTAAGTCCCTTGAATTTATTACCTACTAGTTAGACCTCAAATGCAACCAGGGCCGTCTTAAGCATATGCGGCGCCAGGGTGCAAAAATCCACCTGCCACACCACACCCCCAGGTTGCCCAGAGTTGTCAACCTTGTTGACCTTTGCTCAGGAAAAGAAGGCAGGAAACATAAGGAGCCCAGCCCAACAAACCAGCCCGAGGCATCAACGTTGGGCGCCTTGTGGTGTAAGCAGCATGTGCTGGGTGGGCCTCTCCATGACCCTACACCAATCCCAGGCACGCCCTCAGCACCTCGCTCGCCCGCAGCAGAACAGTTCCCATATCTTGTCTCTCCGCCTCCTCACCCCTTACCTCTCCCTTTTAATTTTAACCAGGTTTTCAAATACATAATTTGTTTTTAACTGCAGGCTCAGTTCAAAAACATGTGAAGTAATTGATAGACTCTGGGTACTAGTAAAATGCTTTTTCTAAACATGATGTAATCATAAGTAGTCTTGAAAAGTCCCCAAAATAAACTCTATGCAAAACCAATTTTCTCTTAAGGCAACTGCAGGTTCTAGTGCAAGTCTTAAAAATGCAAAACACATGCCCAGAGGTCTGTTAAACAGCACTGGCAATAACATCAAATTTTGAGAGATATCACAGATCAATTCTCATCATGCTGACTAGCCTCCTCAATTAAAATTCAGTTTTGTAATACTGTAAGAAACTGGCACATTGAAACTGATGTGATTAAAAGTGGAGGTTTCTAGATTGATGTAGTAATTTAAAGAACATTTGTGGCATTCAAACTGCAAAAAAAACATCCTGACAAAAATTGTCTCTCTTGCCACCCAACAATCTATCACAAAGACATTTACCAATGCACAGAGCAAGTCAACTGCTTCTAAGATGAGTTCTTGATGACCAATTCGAGTAACCCCCAGATCCTCCAGTTCTTGATGAGTGATACGTAGCAATTGATCTCCACCAATCTTTTCTCTCTCAAAATTCTTGATATATTGCTGCAGACAATCATCGAGACCTAAAACAAAAACAAACAAAAATGTGTGAAGGGAAGAATTATTTTTCTGTATAAATGAAATGAAATCTATATTAGACTGAAGAATTTAAGCAAAATGTTTCACAAACTGATCAACAGAGATTTGAACATTTGGATGAATATGGAAGGAAATGGTCGGAATCAAAATTCTTGTATAAAATTCTTTAGCTTTGTTGAAGCAGTAGTCCACTAATTTGTTCTCACACATATTCACCTTAAAGCCACATACCTTTAAACCCTAGTTTCAAACTAACTTTCAGCAGTGCTAATACTGACTGCAGTATTAGAATTTACAGTAGAATTTATGCAGAAACAATAAGGAATGGAGAAAATGAAGGCTCAAACCCATTGCCCAGTCCCTGCTAAATATGGTTAAGAGGTCAGCAATGTTAAGTTTGTATGCACCTGGCCTATGTTGTTTTCTCATTCCTTGTACCATGCTCACTTTCGTCACAACATATTAGCTCATTTCATGCTGGTTTCATTGTCATTTCTCAATTCTGTTTTAAATCCTTCTTAATTCTTCAGCCAGAACACCATGCAAACACCAGTCCCATACAAAGGCACGCATGACACTTGACTATACAAATAACAGCATAATTTTATGCATGTTTGGCACTTTTTTCACTTTTAAAATGATATAATTGTGGTTCAATGATAATACTACTTAGTATTATGTAAGTCTTTTAATGCTGGTCTTCAGGTGAACCTCACAAATTTAGCTGAATTTACCACACAGTCACAAATGCTGTTATTCAACCTAAAGCTTGGGCCTCTGGGTACTAGAACTGCTGATTTGCTAAAAAAATTAAGTGATTTGCACTTGAAGTAACTCAGTCTTCATGCTAAACAGTAAACTATTAAAACAGAACCCACAGTATGAAAAAAGTTGAAATCTTTGGAATAAAAGTAAACTTTGATACCAAGAACTACAAGAAAATAAAAGAATATGGTCTGAGCATTATATAACGAATGGCCATTATGTAAAATATAATAAATAAAAATTTGGCATGTTTTCTTCATATTTGATACCAGAAATCTTTCTGACATACGTACTAAAGAAATCTCTCAAACATTGCTTTCAAATCTGAAAATATTCACTGAAAACAGAACACTTGACGTAATCTTAAATGTTTGGTAGAGTCCTTTGTCAAGAGGGATGGGATGATGCAAAATGTGAAGGTTGCTTGCTTCAAAGAGCAAATGCCACATTAAAGGCAGCAGACCCTCTTCACACAGTGGTTATGTTCACACCAAGTGTGTAGTTTGCCTTATCAAGAATGTGCTTCTATAGTTTTGTGGAGTGAGCAATCCCAATTTCAGTTCAACATTAATTAAACTATGTCAACTTCCTCAACCTGGTGCCCTCAATTCTAGTTCTAGGCCACAATTCCCATCAGCCACTGCCATCATGGCCTATGGTCATGGGTGACAGAAGTTGTAGCCAAAAACATCTGGAAGGCACCAGCTGGAGAAAATATGCTACAAATATAGAGCAGTATACAGCAAATGAACAACAGAAGGATGTCCAAGCAACACAAATAACTACAAGACTATTCAAAAAGTGTTCAAATCCACAGAAGTAGGAAACTGCCCAATGCTATTTTCCCATCCACCCCATAGAAAAAATCCCTGCCAAACCAAATTTGCTGACATGAATCCATTATTAATTCCAACACCCTGTGAGTTTGTCACAGATTATCAGCATTAAATGGGGAAATAAGCTTTCCTGATCCCAGTATGAGGATCAAAAAATCACAAATACATTTATCATACTTTTGGCCAATACTATCTGAACTTTCTTGGCTCTACTTTGCCTCATGAGATACACACACCTGAAACCAAGTGGACATGTTAGTATGCAAGAACATTATACCAAGCAGGTCCAATTCCAGGCTTAAGAGGGCCTATGGCCTAATGCCCCCACCAGCAAGCCAATGAGGCCTTACTTGGCAGCAGGCTGCAATGGTGCCCTCATGAGTGCTAGTATTTCAGAGCCATCATTTAGATATCATCCAACTATCTGGAGTGCCCAACACAGCATCACTCCAGAGCATTATGGCTGGCACTACAACAGATACTACAGGGCACTGTAGGAAATTAAACAATAGGGTTCATTGGAGCCCTGGAAAAGCAGGGCCCTGGGTAATAATCAGCAGTAGAACCTCCTAGATTCCCAGCCACTGCCCCAAGATTATGAGTTCTGATGCTGCACCTCATACAGAGTCCAACTGTACTGGCCCTTCTAGACAGACATGGTCTCACCCTTCCACCTGATCTCCAATGAACTAAAATTTCCAGGGCCTTATTCATGCAGGGAATATTGTATACCACTCAGCTATCATCAAGGTTGGTGACCTAGAATCAAGTAGGTGGTATTTCCATATCAGCATCAGACCCCTCCTGGAAGAGTGTAATGTTGCCTCATATAATGAGATAGCTATATCAGTGGTGAGAAAAGGCACACCACAAGCATTACACAAAGGCGTTTCGCATAATAAGTGTACTGTGATTACCAACAATGATATACCGTATTTTTTGCTCTATAAGACTCACTTTTTCCCTCCTAAAAAGCAAGGGGAAATGTGTGTGCGTCTTATGGAGCGAATGCAGGCTGCGCAGCTATCCCAGAAGCCAGAACAGCAAGAGGGATCACTGCTTTCACTGCGCAGTGATGCCTCTTGTTGTTCTGGCTTCTGAGATTCAGAATTTTTTTTTCTTGTTTTCCTCCTCCAAAAACTAGCTTCGTCTTATGGTCTGGTGCGTCTTATAGAGCGAAAAATACGGTAAGTCTTAAGAAGTCAGAACGCTGTTGCACCTATAACCAGTTTATGGAATTCAGATTTGCATGTGTGCTGAATAAAGCATCTTAACTATATTTTTAGGTCAAAGACAAATTTCATTCATCAAAACTTAATACTTGAGACATGCATTAAATCCTAAGACATCTGTTCTACAAGCAAGTGTTAAATACTTGCAAGTAAAATAATAGCTGTCATTTTGAATAAGTTAGTGCCATAAATTAACAACATTTTATCATCCTTTTTTTTTTACTAAATATTAAAGCTCTTTTGATGCTCATGATTTAATTACTGCACTGAAGTCCTATTTCAACAACTGCAAAATGCAGTCAGGTGGGACAGATTGTTCTTGATCTTATGTCAAAACTTGTGTGATTTTAATATAATAATTTGATGGTAATGTTACAATTACAATGCATCACTGGAATAGAAATTTATTTCTTCCATGAAACAGTTGCTTTACGATAAGAGAGCTAAGTATCAATTATTTCTGAACGCAATAGGAAAATAAGGGTAAGGGTTTTGACCTAGCAACATATGCAATGACTTTATAACAGGACAAGCACTGTTCAGCAATTTCATGGTTGAACATAATAAGAGTCTCTGTTCACTTCCCCCCAGTAAGTTGTTTAACGATTTGGTCATTTCCAAGATACAGCTGTGCAAACAATATTTCATGTCTAGCTAGTCATCATTGTGTCTTAGTCCTTAGCTTACCTACCTCTCTCACACACTTCCTGGGCAGGGCAGTGATGAGAAAAATCAAGTTACACACATGTACTGGCAGATATAAATGTTGAAAATATTCTAAAGATCAAGTCATGTAATAATTTTATTACCTTTCAGAATCCTTGTACAAGTCAGCCATATTAGGCTATAGAATCTTAGGGGTTAGCCACTCGCTTTCAAAAATTAAAGTCACTGAATAAGTAAATGAGGTTGTTTCTTTCAAAATGAAGGAGGCCTTTAGACCAAAAAAGGCATATGAACACACAATAATTGATTGATTGATTTTAAAAGAATTATTTGGGGCATCTTAACTGATACTTGTGGATCATATTTTGGAAGTGTTTTTAACATGGTAAGATTTAGTTCAAATGAAAATGTTCAATTGCCTAAGAAAAAATCATGTATATGAGAAAAGTTCCAATTTTAGTTCATACATAGGTACTAAATGTTATAACCAGTAATTCAAAAACAGTTCCTGACAGTTTCCAAACATAGACCAAAACCTCCTCCTGGGTGCCATCATGCCAAATTGGGCACCAATATTGTCAGAAGCATCCAAATTGGTGCAGTTTGTAACTGTCAGACCAAACTGGATGATGTCACATGAAACTTAGGAAAAATATATTCATTGGCATACAAATCAGCATGGTTTGGAACAGTTTGTTCTGCCATCTTGATTCAAAATGGGGTCCAACCATTTCTAAAAGTAAACCAAGGGCTGCTTCCTGATCTCAGTAAAAGTCTTGCCAAATTGGGTGACAATATATTCAGAGGCATCCAAATCAGTGCTGTTTAGAATGGATCAGTCCACCATCTTGATTCAAAATGGTGTCTGTCCAAACATAGGCCAAAAACGCACTCATTGATCTTAGCAACCGTCACGTCAAATAGGCCATGCTAACTCCTTAGGCATCAAAATTGCTGCAGTTTGGAACATTTCAGTCCACCATCTTAATTCAAAATGGTACACAATGTTAATCAAACATAAACAAAAATTGGCTTCTCCACTTTGGGAACTGTCACACTAAGTTTGGCAACCATATCACAAAAGGAATTCAAATGCATGGAGAACAGACATACGGGCAAAATATATAGCAGACATACAAAATTGCATGGAAATCTGTGAAAATACAAACTGCATGGAAATCTGAAGAAAAAAAACAATTAAGAACTATACAGGAAACTTACATAATTGTTGAAATTCTCAGAATCTCAAAGCGTTTGTATACAAAGCTAAGGATGCAATTATTGTGATACTGACACATTCTAAATATCAGTCTAGCTAGGGAGGAGGAACACCTCTTATATATTCTTATATATATGTAGAAATGAAATTATTAATAGCATTAACATTTACTATTACTAAGCACTGGAAACATAGCAGTTAGCTTTTGTAGTATGACCGGCTTCATTAAGATTTGCAAGATTTTGATAACTGTTGGGGGAAACCCT